TTAAAATACTCTTATCTCAATTTAAATAATAGCAAATGTAAAGACAAAATTTGAAAAACAAATATAAAACCACTATTTTAAGTCTTACTTGCGCTGTTCTTACATAACAAATGAATGTATATTCTGCGTATTCTTGACTGGACTTTATATAATGCATTTTTGTAGGCGCCTTTCGCGCTTTACGTGTGCTTTCTGCCTGCTTTTCTCTCTTTCTTACTGACACCTTAATGGATAAGTCTAAAACAGATATAGAAAGTACTAAGGAATCCAAGGAGTCATATATAATAAAAAAATGCACCATTGATGTACCACAAGGGCCTCAATGCTACTGGTATATTATCTAATTGTTGTTATTTTTAGTTCCAAACCCAGAGATTTTAATGAACCTGATTTTCAATGCAGTTCTTGTTATAAATGGTTTCACTTAAGTTGCATTGCGTTTAATATAGGGTAAAATACTCTAATCTATAACTTTCTTAGAAAATCTTTGCCTTTTATGACTTCTTATCATTTCATGTGTAAAAAATGCAACTCAGCTGGAGAAGAGGTTTTCTCTAGGAAACAAGCGAATTTCGCATCAATGTGCCAGACTGCTCTTGCTAATCTTTCGTTTAAGCACAATGGTCGCTTGTTTTTCTCCAAAGAAGATGAATTAATTCCTTTTCTTGAGGATCATTGGGAGGAGCTTACTACGCAGCCAAGGAAAACGAATAAATCGTGGTATCCAAATATTCACAAGACCTTGGTAAAGGTGATTTAATGAAAGTGATTTATAGGCGAGCACGGACACATTTGAGACGGTAGATTTTGATACAGATCTCGTCGTTTGTTTATCAAATATAGTAGGTCTTCCCTCCTTTCCTAAAGAAGCATTTATCGAAAATATTTTAATACCTTTTTGTATTTTACAGGACATAAGCAAAATGGGCCCAAGTTATGATAGGTTTCGTGCTCTTACCAGTACATTGAAAACCAACATAACTAAATTGGGCTTCCCCAGTCAGTCTCTTCACGCTGGCGTCGGTGGGCTTTCTCCTGGCTTAGGATCTACCGAAGCTCTCGAATCAAATGCAGGGGATTGTGACTTAAGCCAGACAGAATCCATTGAAGTTCTCGGTTCTGCTACCACTTTAGCTTCAAGAAAGAGGAAGCTACCATCATCCTGCTTGTCCACCTCTGTAATCTCAAGTTTATCTTATCTTATCCTACATTTTTTTGAGCGTACTTACTGTGAATTATTTTAGATTGGTGTTCCTGGCAGCGGAGCGGCTGGTGGCACTTATGTTATGAGTGGGGATGTCGATAGTTTAGCTGATGGTACTGATGGTCTTATTGCTGTTTCAGAGGGCACTACTCTATGTGGTGTGAGTTCCTCTTCTGTTTCTTGCCCTTCCATTGGCGGGTCTGGAGCTAATTCAAACCTTGGCCAGATAGTCAGCTCAGCTGGCCGTTCAACGCGCCGAAGCGCGGCTGCCGCTGGTACACTTGGCAATACAAGTCATTCAGGAGTTATAACTCATCAAATTTTATCCAGTGGGGGTGCCATGATAGTGGATGAAGGAAAGGCTAAATTAAATTCCCTCGGTTTCCCCATTGACCACCCTTTCAACAAAGAAGGCTATAGGTATGTTTTGATATATTTCATCCTTTCATTTTCCCTATTACTTACGCGAATAAGAGCTTATTATAGTGATACAACCTTGTCCATTCTATTGCATAAGGCCTCAACTACTAACTTTCAAACTACTCTCCTATGAGCCTCTGTCTTAGTGTTTAACCATTCCTTTTCATCAATACTTCGACTAATGACTCCTTATTGTCTTTTTCAATCTGGAATTCGTTCATTCATTATGTTTTCTACCCTTTTAATTTTTGTGAATAAAAAT